ATGGGCTATGTATTCGCTAAGGCTTTCACGGCCGGGATCTAATGGTTGATGTGGGTTTTTCGGGCTCTTTGGCCGTGTTCTGAAGGTTCTTCTTCCTAACGTTTCGCCAGTCTCTGTGGCCGGCATCTTCAAAGGACAGCACTCTGTGCTCTGGTGTAGTTTGCTTGGGTGTTGAGTATTTATGGCTGTGAGATCAGCTTTTGGCCTTTTCAGGAGATGGGTGATTAGTGTGTCTTGTTGTGGGTGTATTGTTGTGATAAGGAGGAGAGATTATCTGTCACTGTGATTGATGGGTGTCATTAGCTGGTCTTTTTGTGTAGCCCGAAAAACCCACAACAACCAAAGTATGGGCTGTTCCGATGTTTACATGACAAACATACTTTTGCTATGATGCTCACTTTGTAACTCTGGTGAAGTTAGCTTTTTGAACTACTGTAGTTTCTATGGACGGAAAAGAGCAGATACGGATTAAATGGTTTTCAATGCATTCCTATGGGAAATGCGGATTCAACATAAGAACTTTTCAACTTGAGAACCACCTTCCAATACGGATTAAGTTCTTAAGTAGAGACCCCACTGTACAAATCCAAGAATCCTCCAGATAATTCTGGGAGTTGTATTCCAATATTGAAAAGCTCTGATACAAACTATTGTCGGGTGCAAAGCAAGGAAGTGTCACTACACATACTAAATTCCTTATTTTCAGAAGCTGGTGTTGCAGAAATAGTTTAATCATGAAAATGGAATGGCAGAGGGTTAGAACCCTATGTTTTCCACAGAAGAATCTAATTGCTCACCTCAGTGCTCAGTGCAGTGCACTTCTCTTCTTACTTTTTATTTAAAATGAAAGTCCCCCTCTTTGGCCACTATTCTATTGAGCTTCCCCTAAGTGGAAAGTCCTGCCAATGTGGGGCAGTGCCATATGTGCAGACATTGCTATTGTGCAAGCAGTTATCTCCCTGAGGAAAATCTGCCTTTCGTTTGTGCAATCACAACACTTGTGCAAGTGGTACAGTCCTGCGAATGAACGAACAAACAAACAAACATTGGATACAGTGGTCAGGGATGTAGAGCTGCACATTAAAAGAAAAAAAATGACATTTACCGTAATTGTAATGCAAAGCTATGTTTTCATAGAATCATAGAATAATTGAGTTGCAAGGGGCTTATAAGGCCATCGAGTCCAACCCCCTGCTCAGTGCAGGGATCCAGATTAGAACAGATCTGACAAATGGCTGTCCAATTTTCTCTTGAATGGCTCCTGCATTGCAGCACTCACCATCTCCTGAGGTAATTGGTTTTATTGTCGTACTGCTTTTGGACAACCTATCCCAAAATCCCCAGCCAGGACAGTCACTGGCCATGCTTTCTGGAGGATTCTGCAAGTTATAATCTAAAAGAATATCACTGTTAGGCAGTGAATATCTCACAGCAGAGGACAAGGACATCTGCTGCACGCACATTTCCCTTCTAAGCCAGTGGTTCTTAACCTTGGGTTACTCATGTGTTTTGGGACTGCAACTCCCAGAAGCCTTCACCACCAGCTGTGCTGGCTGGGGTTTCTGGGAGTTGCAGTTCAAAAACACCCGAGTAACCCAAGGTTAAGAACCACTCTTCTAAGCCAACGTTAAGCACTTTTAAAGTCCCAGCAAGTTCAATCACAGAATTAAGCATGCATTTGACTTACTTGTGCTTAAATCATTGAGACCTGAGATATTTCATTTTGGCTGAATGATGTCCTAATTTTGTAATATCTTTATCATAAGACCCATTTCATAAAATGTGTGTAGTAATATTTGAACCTCTTTGTTCTTGGAAACTAAATTTGTGTTCCTGGATACACATGTGGAAATCAGGATCTCTAAATACCCTTCTGTTTCACAAGAAAGACATTTACGTCCTACCCCCATCCCATTTTTTCACAACAAGTTAACATTTTGCCTGCACATATCCTTGGCATGAAATAGTGTCTGATGCTCAAATGTTAAAACTATGTGAACCCAATTTATTTAAAAAAAAATTCTTGAACATCTCATTGCTCATTCAAGAAAAATAAAAGAATGCAAAACTGAGATTATGAGGCAAATAATTTGATTATCGGAGTTCCTGACTTTTTCTTCAAAATGAAGTTTTAAAGTTTATTTAAATAGATAAGATTGAAAAGAAGTATGTGACATCGTAAGAGTGGCACCTATTTTCTATCCTTCAGCTTTGTTTTATTCAAAAATAGAGAGAGAAACAGGAGCACAGATCCCAGCAGGATATGGTATCAGGTGAAATACATAGTCTCAAAGTGTATCATATATTGGAAACATTGCATTGGAACTGAAATGTCTCACTTTTTTGCAAAAGAAAAAAAATCATTCAAAATGAATCACCATAATAATCATTTTTAAAAGTTCACAAATCCCTGTTGAAAAGCCGCATCTTTGCAACCTTTCCAAAAGTAGCAAGACTCAAAGGGGAACTGCAGCTCTGAGGGGAATGTATTTTATGGTCTGGGACCAAGACAAGGAAAAGTCCCCTCTGAAGTGCCTGTAAAACCTGGCAGCAGTATTCTCCAGTTGGCCTTTGCTGAAGATCTTAGCATCCACACTGGTTCATAACAAAAGAGGTGGTCACTTATATAGCTGGGCCTCAAGCGATTTAGGGGTTCAAATGCTAAAAGCCAACACCTTGAGTGGTGCCTAGAAAGCAATTGGTAATTGTGCTGGTCAACAGCCCTTGAAAAACACATTTTGGTGTGGCCTATGGTTTGGTTTGGGTTTTGTTTGTTTGTATGCTATTTGTTTGATCCTTTTTAGTATTTGAATACTGTACTTACTGTTTTTAGCTTTAATATTGTCTTTAATTGTGTAAGCTGCCTTGGGAAAATAAATAAATTGTGGGAGATAAAGAAGCTAACTTTAGAGTGGAAAAAAATATTTCTAAATTATGCTGGGAGAGACAAGCTTTAAGCAGTGCTGAGGGTGAGGTGGCCTGTTAAGCAACACCCTTGTGCATGCAGCTGGGTGTCAAGTTAAAACAGGCTGAGCTGGGATTCCAAAAATTAATTGTAGCCTCTCTTTTTCCATTTATTGTTTGCTTGAAATGGCTTCCCTCCCTCATCTGCCAGTATAAAACCTTTTGGAAAATGTGTCATTTAAGGTTGGCAATCATTATTGTGCTGTAGCGGATGCATTGTTCCCACAGGATGCACAAAAGAGTAACTGCCGAGCACAAAGGAGGAGTCTTCTGTCTTTTCAAGCTGGTAATTCAAAGATTTCCCTCCAAGTTGAGATTGAGAGCCTTTTAAAAGGGACAGCATAATGAAAGGGTGTAGCTCGCCAGTCAACTGGGTAGGGCATCCCTTCCAGCTTCTCCACTTCCATGTTTCTGATAAAATAGATGTTGGCTCTAAGTTTGGAGCATGTAAATCTGATCCTCAAGGAGAGGTGGTTTACACAACGCAGGAATGGGGAATTGGTAGCCCTCCAAATGTTTTTGGACTGCATCTTCTATCAGTTCTAGCCAGCATAATTGGTGGTAAGGAGCATCAGTTGATGATAGTTGTCATCCAACAGCTGAAGGGCCAGCCGTGACGTTAAGCTTCCAAAAGTAAGGCTCTGGAGCTAGGATAATCTAAGACAATGGCTGAACTCCTGTTGGTTAGCATCATCACAACTAGAGTAGGCTCACTGAATCAGTGGGGATTTGATGAGTCATCTCATTGATTGCAACTTACTACACCAAGCAACAGGATTTCAGCTAATGATTCCCAAACTTTTCAGCCTCACACTCCCTTTCGGATGCTTCTGATGTTTGAGAAACTGTCATGTCCTCACAGCTTTCAGTTACTGTCATCCTGACCTCTTTTAACCAAATAAATAAATAAATAAAAATCAATTTGTAATTTAAAATTAAAACTTGGCATAAAAACAGAATGGCTGAAAAAGAAAAGAATCAAGGTGTTCCAATGGCCTAGTCAAAGTTCCAGAACTGAACCTGATTGAACCACTGTGGTGGGACTTAAGAGAGCTGTGCATGAACAAATGCATGCAAATCTCAATGAACTGAAGTAATGTTGTGAGGAAGAGTAGGCCAAAATTCCTCCGCAATGATGTGAGAGACTGATAAAGTCATACAGAAAACAATTAATTCAAGTTATTGCTGCTAAAGATGGTTGTACAAACTACTTCATCATAAGGTGTACTTCATTTTCTATGCATGGCTTCTCCATTTTGGCTCAATTTTTTGTAAAATAAATAATGACACTGTGTAATATGTCATGTGTTGTTGTATTTTGGTTGTATTTACCTAATTTTCAGACTTGCTCAGGACCAGATGGTTTTTATTATGTCCCAATATGTAAAACTACAGAATTCAAACAGGGTGTACTTTCTTTTTCACATGACTGTATATCACACAAATTTGTTTAAGCTAGTAAAGAAACAACAACACACTTTCTTTATGGCAATCTCAGTTTTACATCTCCTAGAATTTACACAGGGGGCCACCCTGACAGCCAGTCTGGAACCTAATGATCTGAGAAGACTGTTTTGATGAGACATTGTATTTCCTCATGATTGTATCTCAACAAGTTTTTGGGGGCAAGTACAGAGATCCAAGGCATATCTTCATAGATCCCTGCACTTAAGGTTATAATTTACTTTTAATAGCGCTATGCTTAATCTGAAATGTATTGCTACATTACTGGAAGGCAGTTGCCTGAGTAGATACTTAATGTTATATCCTTCATAATGCCTGCTGTCAGCACTGCAAATATTCTTGTTTGCTCCTAGCATCCTTTGAACTTTTTCCAGGTAGGCAGGCAGGTAGGCAGGCAGGCAGGCAGGAAGGAAGGAAGGAAGAAAGGAAGGAACTTGGAGATACCTCTCAGGAAGCAGAATGTTGACTTTAATAACATTGGTGTCCATCTTCTGACCCATGTTTTATGTTCTATGTAGTGTGGGTGAAAGTGGATGGACTCTTAACTCTGTTCTCTCCTTTTCTACCAACAGTATTGGATCAACTCGTCCCTGAACTCACTGTGCTTCTCAAGCTCTTAGACCATGAATACTTGAGCTCCACCACCATAGAGAAGAAAACAACCGTCTCAAATATCTTGCAGAAGCTGCAGCCCCCAGCAGGTCAGGAAGCCTTTGCTGTCCTTGGTCATCTCCATACAACAAGCTTACTCCTTTTCTTCTTCTTGCTGTGCTTGTAGCTGGATTGCGTTATTCCTAAGGCTTACGTGACTTTAAAGAACAAACAAACACACACACACACACACACACACACACACACACACACACACACACACACACACACACACACACCACACACACACACACACACACACACACACAGCAAAAACCTGTCTCCCTGCCTCCTAGGTTGTGACATATTTCTGGCTCTTGACATGCTGATGCAGGCTTCTCTCTGTGCAGGATTCTTCTGTTTTAAGTCTGAGAGAGAGGTGGGGTGGGGTGGCCTGTTTCCTGGCTGGTTGTCTCCAGTGTAACAGCTACAGGTTGGGTGCCTAGTGGTGCCTGTTGGCTTTCCCTTAAGGGCTCCTATGGAGCTAAAAGCTTGTTGTCTCATTAAATGCCATTCAAGGGGGGGGAGGTAAAACAGGTTAGAAATATTTGTGTTAGCACACTGATGACTTAAAAGTAAATTGCTAAAAGAAAGTTTAGAGGGCTTTAGAAAATTAATGTGTGTGGGAACTAATTAAATCATTCAATGCCATTGAAAATACCTTTTTTAAAATGACCAGCAATGAATTGAAGTAATGAGAACTGTTACTCCTTGCTCAGAAATAGCACTGTTGCTCTTTAATGATTTAAATAACAATTTTTCATATTGTTCTTGAAAAAATGTTAATGGGTTGAGGTGACAATTTTTTGTCCAAAAATGGGTTTGGGGTTCTGTGTTAGAAGATTTGCAGATGCTAATTCAGGCATCCGGGATCTTCTGCAAATGGGCCTTCAGATTCCCAGTGTGACTCCCAAACAGCAGTGCAGCAGATGGAGAAGAAGAGCAAAGGTGACATTAGTTCCGAGGTGGAGTGGCTCACATTGAAGTCACATAGGAAGGCAATCCTCTCCCTTCTTAGACAATTAGCTAAAAAAGTGTACCTATAAGTTTGCCCTCGTGTTGGCTTGCCCTCATGATGGAAATTGCAGCTCTGAAAGGGAAGGCCAGTGAGAACCTCTTGGTGGGGGTTGTGATGATATGTACTCTGCCACCATCCCACGTCCCTGTCACTTCAATCTTGGCCAAAATTGCCTTCCCAGTCCCTGTTAAAAACTTTTGCTCGATCCTGCTCCCTGCTCTCCCACATCTCATCTGATATGGCTGTCTGCGGTGGACTAAGCATGGGCAATACCTCAGGCTGTACAGTTTTTCTGCCTGTGCCATTCTGTCTCCTTCATGTAAGAAAATGGGAAGGATGAAATAGAAATACAGAGCTACTTACAAAGTTAAACAGTTCTTCCTTCTTTGCAATCTGCTTGCTCTATATTCTCTGGAACTGCTGTCCTGCAGCTTCTTCCTCGTGTCTAGTCTGTCCCATCATCCTTTTTAAAATAATCCTTTATAAAATGAATGTTATGGTACTTGATTATTGCTAGAAGTCCAGGACTCCCCCTGGTGGAAGGTTCAGTGATGATAAAGTCCTCTGGCTGACCTTGAGGAGCAGAGATAAACAGGCATTAAAGACTAACAGTTCTGTTCCTTGATTTATCTGAACTGTAGAAATCTACATGGATTTTCCCAATATTTATGGCATCTCTTGTGTGTGGCAGGTGGGACCCCAGGCTTCAAACAGTGGAAGCATTTCCATGTTCAGGTGTTCTAAGGTGGTGGCTATGCCTTTCCTTTCCTTGTGTGTGTGTGTGTGTGTGTGTGTGTGTGTGTGTGAGAGAGAGGGAGAGAGAGAGAGAGAGAGGGAGAGAGAGAGAGAGAGAAGAGGAGAGAGAGAGAAGAGAAGAGAAGAGAAGAGAAGAGAAGAGAAGAGAAGAGAAGAGAAGAGAAGAGAAGAATGCTTATAGCACTTGAGCTCTCAGACAGTATGAATAGTACCTTTTGGCTACACTATAGCTGGACAGGAAGTGGTCTGTGTTTCCTGTGGAAATGTGTGTTCCCAGTAGCTTTCCTGCCGGTTGATTTCTGCTGAGAGGGAGGATTTCCATGGGAATAGCAAATGTCACATATTTTCTCATCTGTTGTCCCCCTGCAACAACAGCCAGCATATCTCCGTGTTAGACTTGACCAAATAGTCATCTCTGAAAGAAGGTGATGATTCTCATCTTCTTGAAGGATAGTTCTTTCTTCTTCCTTCCTGGGGTTTTCCCAAGGGGTGAGCTTGGTCCTCCTTTTGTCATCAGTAGAGAGCAGCTATCAATGTAAACTTAGCTGGCTTGCTTCATTTTGGAGTCAAGTAACTGCTTGGCAGGAGAGGATTTTCAGGGATCTAGGGAAACAGATGACAGTATTCATTCATTAGCTGTAAGCTTTAATGCTAGCCTTCCGAAGCAGAGCCATGTTGCAATCTTAGCACCCTGGCGAAGTAGTGCCATCTCCAACCCAGTAAGCTTGGGCACAAACACCACCACCCCACAAAGAAAAGGAGAATTTGGTGTTTTCTGGAAAGAAAGAAGAAATTAAGCAGTGGTCCAGCCAGTCCAACCTGTGTCCTGGATTCTGGGACATTTGATGGAGAATCGTATTGTATCTTCTGCCTCTATGAGCCAGGCCCATTGTTTACCAGGAATCCAATAATTTCAGTAGATATGGAACTGAAAGAACGATAAGCATTGAAAACACATATTTCTGTATTGATATGTACCTCTAGATCTTGACCTGGCCTTGGGAGTAGTGATTTTGCAGGACAGCTCATCTTCCATCTCATTGCCACATGGAGGTGCGCTTTCCTGGAAAACTGTTATCTCATGGTTACTGATCGCTGTCCTAAAACAGGAAGTTCTAGAAAAGCATTGAGTGTGCATTTGAATCTGTTCATGTAGAGTGTTGTTAAAACCCAATAGGCCTAGCCATCACCCTGCAGGCATGGAGCATACAGTAAAATATTTCCCAAAATCTTGTGGAATATATTGGGATTCCTGGCTAGAGATGCTGATATAGAAGGAAGTTCCTGAACTAAGAAAGTTTGAAAGCCAGCTGGTCTAGAGCACTGTCTGATGCTGTCATGTCTTATTGTTTGTAACATTGTCTTCTCTCTTACAGGAAAGGACATGAACTACATGTATATGAATACAGCAACTCTCCATAATGGCACTAGCTTTGTAGAGTCACTCTTTGAAGGATTTGGTATGTATTGCACATAGCTCCAACCACTTGCCCTCATGTTCATTTCCTTTTTGGCTTTCATGTGCCTGAGCTCCAAGCCCAAATCCTGCACAACAAAACTGTGGCATTCAACATCAGTTTGCTCTTTGCATCATTCTCCAATCCTAAAAGCATTTCCCTCCATCTGTTCTGCAAAGCAGAAACCTCAATGACAAAGTCTTAAGAGCCGGGTGGAAAATTCCAACCATGCCACAAGAGATGGTGCTTGAGACTGCACCCCCCCCCCTCAGACAGTATTTGCAACCTGGGTCTGAAATCACCTCTCCAAACAGATTTGTCATAGGCACCTTCCTTAAATTTCCATTTTTGGAACTCTTATCTACAGTTGTTCTGCACCATCCATGAAGTGGTAGTGCTTAGCTTTGATGAAATGGTATTTTCTCCTTAAAAACTTGCAATTAGTTTGATTGTTTTTAGTGGTCCAATAAAAGGCATCACCTACTCTTACATTTGTGTAACCTTAAAGACCACACAGCCTTTTCCTAATTCATTCTCAACAAAATGGTGAGCCTTTTCATTGGAAAGCACTCTTCGATTACTGTGCTCTTAAACTCCCATGTGCCTGTCAGCTCACTGTAAGCCTCCTTTCCAGTCTTTGCACCTCTCATTGGGAAACCTTGGGCCAGCGGTGCTTCCTCAGCCTGACTTACCTCACAGGGATGGAGTTCCGAAGGTGGAGAGTCAAGGAGGAAAACCACATGCACTGACTTTTACTTTTTTGGGGGGAAAAGGCAGAGTATAGATAGAACTCAAAAAGAAAGGATTAATAAATAGGTCCGTTGGCTTCTATATTTTTTTTTAACTAATTAAGATGCTTCAGCAAAGTCACAAAAATATTAATAAGTGCTGAGAGTCAGGATGGTTTTGTGAAAATTTGCCAGCTCCTGCAATACCTTCACTGGCTCCACTGCCTCAAGCGGAAATCCTTGCATATCCTGAATTAATTCCCTTCCTTTCCTGTACAAAGCGAGGATCCAATTAGAACTGGATCTGAACAGTGTCCATGCATTTGATATGTGTATTTTTAAACAACTGTAGCCACTTGGGATTACAGCAGGTGAGGTTAGGATTTATCTCTTTCCTTCCTGCTTGGTCCTGTAGGACAGTGGTCCCCAACCTTTTTGCCTCCATGGACCGGTTTAGCATGCAGGCAGGGGGGGCCTGTGTGCATTCGTGTCTGCATGGGAGGGGCTGTGGGGGGAGGGGCATGTATGTGTCTGCATGTGGGGGGGCAGGAGATTTGTCCTGGCAAGGCCACAGACCAGGACTGGCCTGCGGACGGGGGTGGGGGTGGGTTGGGGATCCCTGCTATAGGAGAATTGTTCTTGTGTTGCTCCTAAGTTTCCCCATCAGTCATCTGGAAATTGAGTCATGGCAACTGTCTTATTTCTTATTAGGCTGAAACATTTCGCTTCTCATCCAAGAAGCTGCAGTGCTTGGATGAGTAGCGAAACTTTTCAACCCAATAAGAAAGAAGTCCAGTTGCCATGACTCAGCTGCCAGATAGCCAGACCTGGATGACTGAGAATCTTCACAGATATTTTCCCCATCAGTGCTTCCTTTGGCCCAGAGGTTCCTGGTAGAAGTTTCATCTACACTAATATCCCTAAATTCCATTCTTCCTCAAAACTCCAGATACAGAGAGCACCTTTGAATTTTATCCAGTTTGCTCTCAGACAGCTTTCACCTTCTTTTCCCTTTCCCCTACTGTGGCTCAGAAGAAAAGGACCAAACCATCCACCACTTTGTATCCTTGCACATGTGAGAATATTTAGATTTGCAATACCTCCAGCTACTCAGATAGAGGACTCTTGTCATGCAACAGGGAAGTCGCATGTTTTGATTTCATGACTGCATTGTTCCAACACCCTCCCGCCTTCTGATCTTCCCAGATTGTGACCTGAGCAATCTTCAGGACATGCAAGAAGATGATGGTGAGGCTAAAGAAGGCGTCAGCTTAGAGCTTTCAAGGAGCCAGTCTGCTAAAAGTGTAAGTTGTGAGGTACATCCCCCTGTACCTCATAAACGAACGTGTGAAGCTGCCTTGAGGTGGAACGGATCGGGGCATTGGTCATCAATCCTTTCTCTTCACTCTTTCCTAGCCCTCCCTGGAGCTGGCAGGGATTTAAATGGGGACTATCTGGATGCAAAGCATCTGCCTGGCCACTACACTATGCCCCCAACTATAAGGCCTCAAAATACCTTTGACTGGTGCATTTTGTGTCTTGAACGGGACCATCCAGCACATCCTGTTGCCCATGCAGAGAGGCAGAAGCAAATAGCAAAAAATAAAGTCTTAAGGAGAGCATGTGCTGGACCTTGTGATACCTGTAAATACATTCATTTTGTGATATTTCCAGAAATATGATGGCAAAGAGGAGACACATATATGTTTGTGCTATTTTTCCCCCCACATGATTTATGTATGTGGAGAAACAAAGTAGAGCAAAACAAAACCATAGCTGTACTCTTGATATTGGTCCAGACCTGCTCTACCTTGAGACAACAGATACCGTCACTGTAGGATGTGAGAGGAGGCTGGAGACCTACTTCTCTTTTGAGAACTCTCGGCGTTTTCCTACTTTCAGCACAAAACACCCAGCCCATGCTTGCCTTTTGATTTTGCTACCTTTTGCATTATTTCTCAAACCTGTTTGGCAGGATGCAGTACTGGGCCCAAAGAACTGTGTGTACCTTGCAACAATGAAAGAGCAGCTTCTTTCAGATATTTTTCAACTCTCAAAACAAAATGTCTGTCTCCGGCTGAAGAGAAAATCTTGGAACCAAACCTGCTGTATCTGTGGAAAGAGGCGATACATGTAGAGAAGCAGACAAATCATCCATCTTTGGTTCTGATAGGAATGGCTCCAATGGATGAGGGCAAGAACAGATTATATTGAACAGCACTCTTTATGTCAGTGTTCCCCAGCTGAGAAGTTTTCGGATGTTTTGGACTATGGTCCCCATCATCCCTAGCCAGGAAGCAATGATGTCTGTTGTAATCCAGCACATTTAGAAAGATGCAAGTTAAGGAAATTCAACCTAATTATCTTCCTGTACTCCTCCCCAATCTACTGGATTACAACAGCCATCACCACCAGCTGGTGGAGGATGGTGGGGGCTGTAGTCTTTGACGCCTGGAAGTTCCCTAGTTGGGGAAGGCTTCCTTAGGAAGTGCTGTTGAGTGTAACCTCTTTTTGCTTTTCATTGCACTAAAGACTGTGTTCCTTTCATAAAACCATGAGATTTCTCTGTGCTTAAAATGCACCAATGGCTGTGCAAACTGTCTAGTCCACATTGACTGTGCTGTTGGCCATCAGTCAGCCACAAGGGTTTGAAGAGGGTAGGTGGCTTTAGCCAGGAGCCCTCTGTGCATGTGGATTCGGAAGAGAGAGAGAGAGAGAACCTGCATGAAAACTCTGTGTTCTCACAACTTGGCCAGACTGACAGGGGGATATTCAGATTCCAATATCCCCCAGTCAGTCTGGCCAAGTTGTGGGAACACAGAGTTTTCATGCAGGTTCTCTCTCTCTCTCTCTTCTGAATCCACATGCACAGAGGGCTCCTGAAGTAACTTTGGCAAGGTCAGTGCATGAACACACTCAGTTGGGATGTATGTGCTGAGGGTAAACAACCACAACACAAGACTTTTTCTGTTTCATCATCAACCCTGCTGCTTCTTTGATTTATCTCCTCACAGGTTTCTGGGGAGCCACCTCCACCATTGCCCACCACTCCACCCCCTGAAGATTATTACGAGGAGGCCCTGCCCCTGGGCCCAGGCAAAGCCCCTGAATACATTACCTCCCACAGTAAGTCTACTTGGGGTCTGCAGGAGGAAGGAAACAGACAGCTGCCTGGGCCTTGGCACCCCCTTTTGTCTTCTGGCACTCCCATATTGGCCTTAAAAAACAAAGTCTCCTCCCAGGTGTCTGACAAGTGACAGGCTTCTAATTTATATGCCCCAGGGAGGAAACGGCACTTGTGTGGGAGCTGTCACGCTCCTTTTCCTGCCTCTTTGCCCTCCCCCAGCCTCTCAGATGTCACAAGCAGTTGTTTGCTCAGGCTTGCCTGGAAACATACCAGTGAACCCTGAGTGACAGGAAAGTGATGGGCTTGCCTAAGAACAACCTCTCCCTCAGCTTGTCTGAGAGATTAGGGAAAGCGGAGAAGAGAACCCAGCACCTGCTCTTCTTTCTCTTGACTGGAATAAACACTGAGCTTTAATCTAGCAGAGCAGGAGCAGAAATAAGTAAAAATTCCTCACTGAGCTAAGGGTGTCTCACAGCATCTATGCCATGGTTAATATCAGGAACAAGTGAGCCCTACAAGGAAAGTCCAGAAGAAGATGTGGAGGCTTCAGAGAGGACTGAGGGGAGGCAGTTTTTGGCTCTGGGGCTCTGCTTGCCATGTTTTCTGAACTCTGGTGGGGTATATAAAACATGAAGATGTGAAGCATTCCTCTCTCTCTTTTTCTGTCTTGAACTATGGTTCTTCAGGTCCTGTAGCTAGACTACTATTGGGCATGTTGGTTGTGGAATTCTGGGAGTTGTAGTTTTACAAAACATTCACATTTCTAATAGATATCATACAACAACCAAAGTGAAGGGGCTCGAACACAGTGCTCAACAGCTACAGACAAAGGTGATGCAATGGTGTTTGGTTTTGCTGGAGGTAGCCCCTAGATGTAGTTAAAAACAAAAATTAAAAAAACTTTAGTTCTTTATTTAGACATCTTTGCTCTTTATTTAAAAAAAAAATGACGTTCTACTCTCACTCTCTTTTAATGAAACATTTCATATAACTTTTGTGCCAAAGGTGGGAGAGGGAGCTACCAAACGCTGGAGGCCTTGACTTAGCCAGTGGGCTGAACTATTCCATCTGCTTTTCCATACAGACAGCTCCAGTCCCCCCAACTCCATCGAAGATGGGTATTATGAGGATGCAGATAGCAATTACCCTGTCACCAGAATGAATGGAGAACAGAAAAACTCTTGTAAGTAGCGCTGCAAAGATATGCCTTGTGAAACCACAGGGGCACAGAAACCACTGACTGTTAAGTACTGAACTGTTGGCCCAGGAGTGGGGAAGAATGCAAGCAGTCAGATGATTTCTGAAAGTCTTAGACCACCATATTGCCCGTGGTACTGCAGCCCGTCTGTTATGCACGGAATGGTAAATGAGGAATGTGGAATCTTCTTGTCTTCACACACTGCAATAAACAAGGAGGTTCTCTGTTAGCAGTAGTAAGGTGGGGCAATTCACTGGACAATGTCAGCTGTTATAGACAGAACATCGTGCATGCTTTTCTACATGTCAATTTCAGCATTCCTGTCCAGAGAATTTTGTTTCTGTTACTATGTTGAGCTGTAGAAGATTGTTCGTTAGTCATGAAGGCTGGGAAAAGAGCACCCCAGGAACTGTATGTGGCCAGTGGATCCCTTTCAACCATACTTGAAGCCTGGCTATGGGACAGGGGCTCCTTTGGTCAATTGGTGGATCATCTATGTTAGAAACTAGACAGTGGGAGTGTTATCTCTGTTGGTTCTGCTGGACTTCTTAGTGGCTTTCAGTGCCACCAACAATGGCACCCCTCTAGGCCGCTTGTTTCAAATGGGACTTGAAGGCACGGTTCAGTACTGTTTTGCAGCGGCTCTGGCTTTTCCTGGGGGGGGGTGTGAACCCAGAAGATGGTGCTGCTGGGGGACTACGGTTTGTCACCTGGGTCATTGGCCTGTGGCATTGCCCAGGATTCAGTTTTATCTCCTATACTACTTCTACATGAAACTGCTGGGATCTGCAATATTGATTTCCCCATCATCCAGTCCATAAGTTGCTCCACAGAAGAACTTGGGCTGCAGATGGACTCAGAAAGACACACACACACACACAAAAAGAAATGCAGACCATATATGTTCCAGAAACTGCCTCCTGGTCCCCACCTGCCAGACTATTGACTTAAGATACGTGCGTACACACACAGAGTCAAAAGTATCCTGTTAATTTCCTCTTGTCTGAAACTGTGGAGCGTTATTGCCAGTCATTGTAGGCAATACTAAGGTATTAAATCAATGGTCTAACTTGATATAAAACAACCTGTCCTGGTATTTTGGTTTTTTGGCAGTAGGCCCAATTCTGCTATTATTAGATAATAAGGCAACTGCCTCAAGCACCAGATTTTGCAACATATTTCAAGGGGGTGCCTCTTGCTGCTCTGCCTTAGGCCAACCCAAGTTGATAGAGGCATCCTAGGTGACAAAGCTTTCCCTGCTTCCTTGTAGATAATGACTCTGATGCAATGAGCAGCTCTTATGAGTCTTATGATGAGGAAGAGGAGGATGGGAAGGGCCAGCGGTTGACACACCAGTGGCCCTCAAAGGAAGCATCCATGAACCTGGTGAAGGACTGCAGGATTTGTGCTTTCCTTTTGCGGAAGAAGCGCTTTGGGCAGTGGGCCAAACAACTGACGGTCATCAAGGACAACAAACTTCTGGTGAGTAAGAGAGAGAGAGAGAGAGAGAGAGAGAGAGAGAGAGAGAGAGAGAGAGAGAGAGAGAGAGAGAGTGTGTCCGTGGGCGAGTAGCGGCTCTACGCTAAAAAGACAC